CCGGAAACCTGAGGGACTGTCAGGGCGCCCTCAGTCCCTGCCGGCCACCGGGTCCGGGCCACGCCTGCCCTCGTGCTGGGCTGAGCTGTTTTCCTATAACGTCCACCTACTGGCCCTTTCCCGCCTTCGGGGGTCACACAGACCAGGGGCTGCTTGCCCCTCCTTCTGAGAGCGAGGGGACTGCGGAGAGCACACCCCGGGCCAGTCACACCTGGGTGTCCCCGTTCATCCCTGAGGCAGGGGTGGCGAGGGAGGCTGCGGGGAGGCCGCTCCTGAGCCACAGACTCCGGCCCGTAACGTGTAGGTCCGACGAGGTCAGTGGCTGGGCGTGGTTTGAGCTGAGCCGTGTGGTTTTTATTAGGAATTTTATCTGGTTGCCAACATTGTAAAGTCAAGAAATTTCACACGGACCTCCAGGTGCCCACTTCTCTCGGGGAGTCAGACCTTCTGCAGCTCCAGGCTTCCGGCTGTACGGGGAGCATGTGGCGTCAGCTGAGTGGCCATTGTCCCCGAGATGGACCGTGCACGTCCAGTGTGCCCCAGTCCCCACCACTCTCTGTTACCCCACACTCAGTTCTCAGCCCTCGCCCTGGGCCATCTGATACGCACCAGGCAGGTGTGACAGTGCTCAGTAGTGCTGGTGATTGCGCACGAGCAGCCGCTGAACTTGGCCAGGAGCCGGTGAGAGCCTGCCGTGTCCGGCTCCGGGCTTGCTCAGCCCCGCGAAGGCGCTGCCTCTCCTCCAGGCCTCCGTGTCCTTGTCTGTAACTCCAGGGTCAGACCTGACAGCTCCCAGGCCTGTTGTTCTTTGGATGTTTACATCTGAGGGGAGAGCCTGCAGGCCCCCAGGTGGGCCGTGTCGGAGCGTGTGCTCCTGAACACGGGCCTGTTTCTAAGGCCTGCGCTGCCGCGTGACCCTTCCCGCGACTCGACCGCCATCGAGATGACCCGCTCACCTTCTGGCCTTTTCATTCCAGACCCGGGAGCAGCTGCAAGCCGATCTGCTGAGGTGTCAGGCCAAAATCGAGGACTTGGAGAAGCTGCTGGCCGAGAGGGGTCAGGTGAGCACCAAGGTCCTGTGATGTCCCTGGGGCCTGGGGCCGAGGGGGCTCTGCCGCCCTGCCGTTCACTCCCGAGACATTAGGGGGAAAAGCACTCTCGGAACCCAGGCAAGAACACCCCCGAGAGGCGGCCTGCGTGTGGGCCTTTAAAAACTCACAAGTTCCGAAACTCTAACTTGGCTCACTTTTTGTTCGTTTGCACAAAAATAGGACACAATTCCAAAAGCAAAGTGGTGACCAAAATCTTTTTTGACTTGCATCTGAAGAAAAGCTGCCATTGACGCCGAGGATTTAATTGTGAAAATGAGCTGGGCTCGCCACTAGCTGTCAATCTCAGCAGAGGCCCCGCCCCCGCCCAGGTCTCCTCGCTGTGACTGTCTCATAGAATCCGGCCCTTGTGCTTCTCAGATTAGCGCCACCTCCGTGTATGCGTCCTCTGCACTGGGTCAGGCCTGGTGACAGCAGGACACGGGAGAGGGGCCAAGCCAGACCTGTCCCTTGGGGTGGGGAGCACCCTCTCCTGGGGAGAAGGGAGCCCGGAGCCACTGGAGCAGAGGAGGGAAGAGGGAGTATCTTCCTGTATTCATTCACCCGCCCTCTGTCTTCCCTGAGCACTGGCTGTGTGCCAGGCACCGTGCCGGGCGCTGGGGACACACAGTGACAGGATGGGCTAGTGCCGTGTGTTCATGGGCTGACCTGGGTGGGACGTGGTCCGGGTGGCACGGCCGGGGGCCTAGAGTGAGCACAGGGGTGTCGCTGTCGGGACGCTGGTCCGTGGGCTGCAGCGAACCAGCAGGAGAGGGGGTCTGCGGGCCGGCCTGGTCACGGTCACAGTGGGGCTGTTTCTCTGTCGCTGATACAAACCCCGGTCCCTGTGCTTTTGGGGACATGAGTCGGGGAGCAGGGTTGTTCTGCAAACCAGCCGCTCCTCTCTCTGGGCTTAAAGGTGAGGGGCCGGCGAGGTCGTTCTGCTGCCCTCTTCCGGCCTTCCCAGGGAAAGCCCCTCCCCCGTGGCCTTCCTCGTGGCCACTGTGGCTGGGCCGTGTGCCGCGTCAGGGAGTGTGACATGCCCAGTGCTTTTCTGCAGGATTCCCAGTGGGTGGAGGAGAAGCAGCTGCTCATGAGAACCAACCAGGAGCTGCAGGAGAAGGTACGTGCGCCAGCGCCGCCCCGCGCCAGCCTCCCTGGCAGCACCCCAGGGCCTTCCTTATGTTCATTCACCAGAGGCCAGGTCCTGGGGGCTCCCGGCCCCTGGTCCTGGCTCTGTTCTGGGGAGGGCAGCAGGGCTGACCTGGACCTTCCCCAGGGCACCTGCTGACAAGGTCACGTGTCTGTCCGGATGGGGCTTCCCGAGCCCCTCCCCCTCCCAGGGGTGGGCCTACAACACTGATCCACTGGCTGTCCTGGCCCAGATCATGGGCTGGAGGCCATGGTGCTGGCAGGGCTGAGCCTGCCCTCCCTCTCTGGTCATGGAACTTTCTGGAACTCTCTCCAGGAGTTGGCTTGGGGAAATAGGTCTCATGCTTTGCGACAGACCTTAATTTTTTCCTAACCCGTGTACAATTCAGTGAGTCGTGCAGCCATCACCACAGTGCAGGTTCAGGACGTTTCCCGCCCTCCCCCATAAAGAGCCCTCATGCCCGCTACAGTCCCTACCCGCCCCCCCAACCCCCGGCCCTGGCAGCCACCATGGACTTTCTGACCCTCCAGGTCTGCCTTGCTGCACCTTCCGTGCTGGGGGACCAGACCTGGGTAGGCCTGGCATTAGGTGTCCTAGATGCCAGGGCTGGAGAGGCCTGGCCTGGCCCAGGGGCGGGACGGGGCCTCGGTGCAGCCCCAGCTCTGCATTGACCCCTTGTGGCCATTCGCTGTCCTGTGTTACTTCGCACATTTGTGCCGCTGTCCTGTGAGGTGGCCCTGTGTGTTGGGAGAGTGGTGTCCTGCTCGCTCAATTCCAGGAGCCACAGAACGCTCCTGTACTGTTTCCACATGTCCGCTGGGGCGGGGCCCCTCTCCCGTCCCCCTGGCGTGAGGTCAGAGTGACTGTGACGGACAAGGTCCTCGGCTCTGTGAGCTTCTCAGTCCTGCAGCTGGGAACTCGGGCACTGTTCTCCTTGGAAGCCACTGAGCGCAGAGCAGTTAGCAGCTTGGTCAGAGGCTCCCGGGGCGGGGGGGGGCAGGGGGTGGGAGCTGGAGGACAGCCAGCATGACCTTCTCCAGGGCCTGGGGCCTCTAGCAGGTGCTTCCTCTGTGGCTGTGGACTCGCCCGGATTAGGACATGTTAGGACATGGAGAGGCTTGGGGGTCACTCTCCCTTCCCCACCATAGACCTCAGGGAAGGGACTTCATCGCTCTGGGCCTCCGTTTCCCCATCATCCATTTATTCAGCAAATAGAGGAGGCGGCCCTTCTCTGGGCCGGTCTCAGGGCTGCGGGGCCGACCCGGGTCCCGCACCAGCCCAGCTCCTCGCCGTGGCCCCTTCCCGCCCCGCCCTCCTGGTCAGGGGACACGCCTCTCGTGGCCCCGGGAGGGACAGCGGTGCTGCCCACTGAGCCGCAGCTCTTTCTGCTCTAGGTGTACCAGCTGGAGGTGGAAGCGCGCCAGCTGAAGAGCGACATGCAGGACGCGCGGGACCAGAACGAGCTGCTCGAGTTCAGGGTGCTCGAGCTCGAAGTAAGGGACTCTCTCTGTTGTAAGCTCTCAAACGGCGCAGACATTCTCTTTGAGCCCAAACTGAAATTCCTGTAACGCTCCCGGACGCCCCGAGCATGTGGAAAGGGGACGCGACCCAGTGGTTTCTTTCGTTTTTCTCTCCCTTTTAAACACCTGTATGTTCAGAATGATTTCACTGCCTTAATGTTCTGGAGGGAATGCTCGCCGCAGTCCTGGGACCTGTACCAGAGCTCATCTATTTATTGCCTACGGCTTGTTTTGCACTTAATAAAATAATTTGTTTTTGCAATATTTTGCCTTTTTTATTTGTGTTTCATTTCCGTAACGACTTCTTTCCTGCATGCCGGTCGCCTGGTGCGCATTCTGCAAGCCCGGCCACCGCCCTGTTGTAGGTAGTGACACTTTTAAAGCGGCCTCGCAAGCTGTGCGTGGCGCCTCCCGAAACGGCAGGTTCTGAGCTGGCTCCCAGCGGCCTCTGTAGTGTGGGTCCTGCTAGCCTGACCCGCTTTCTGTTAGCCAAGGTAAACACAGGTAAGTGAGCCGGGGAAGAGGAGGAACTCGCCCAGGCAGTTCAGGAAACTCCTCACGTTGCTTCAACTCTTTCCTCCAGTGAGTACAGACCTGGGCATCGCAGCTCTGGGCTAAAAAGTTCCTTCCGGTCACTCAACTACAGCTGACAGCCACTCCTTAGCCCAGAGGGTGACTGAACATTGTACACGGTAGACATCATGGGGGTTCTGTTTGTTTGCTTTTAAAATATATTTTTATTAATTTCAGAGAGGAAGGGAGAGGAAGAGAGAGAAACATCAGTGATGAGAGAGAATCATGGATCGGCTGCCTCCTGCACGCCCCACACTGGGGATCAAGCCCACAACCCGGGCCTGTGCCCTGACCGGGAATGAACCGTGACCTCCTGGTTCATAGGTCGATGCTCAGCCACTGAGCCACGCCGGCCGGGCTAGACATCGTGTTAAACCTTCAGTTGCTCCCCACTGCACAGAGTCGGGCCTCGTGTGACATTGCCGATGGTCTCATGGCTTCCCACGGACACCTTCCCGTCACTAGCGCCTCGCTGCCACTCACTTCCTAATCCTGCCTGTTTGTTTCCGCTGAACACTCGCCGACATCCTCGACATCACCTGCGTTTGTGAGGGTTCCCTGCAGGACAGGTTCCGCTGTCCCTCTGTGTGCGCGGGGCCCGCAGGGCCACGTTTCTGACTTTGCTTTCTCCTCCCGGCTTCCGTTTCAGTTCTGTTTGCTAGAACCTAGCGTCTGGTCCTTGGTCGCTGGCCTGGACCACGGCGGGGTCTCAGGAACCAGTGTGACTGCCCGTGGCTCTCGCTCACGAGAGCTGGTGTTTCATTTGTGCGGCAGAAATCGGGGAAGTTAAGCGAGGTTGAGGGCATCATGAATACCTCGGCCCTGTTAGGAAACCTTTTATGGGTCTTTGTTATTCATCTTTCTCCTGAGCATTCTACCAGCATTGCTCAGTTAACTAGAATTTTTTTCAGGTGTCTCCACTGTCCTTCAGAGCCATTAGAATTTTCTAACTTCCATTCATATGAAATAGGAGCTTTCTCTTACGACCTTTTCTATGGAGATTCCATTTAAGTGGGTAGAAAGGCATCCACTGGATGGAGCAATTGCAAATTCTGTTTTTGGCTCATCAGGCAAATCAGGTTTCTCTAAACTGTTTCAAGCCCAGGTGAGAAGGAAACTAATTGAATGAATGACTTCCTCTCTCCTTTATCTGCTGCCCACCATTTCCCTAAACTGGGCCCATTGGCTACACTCCTCACCTCAGTGGTAAGGGAGCCCATGACTCCAGTAGGCCCTGCAGGTGTGGTCCGACAGCGTGTTACCTCACTGTAGCCTGAGAAAAGGGGCGGTGTGGGTTCAGGGGAGCATGTGCGAAGGCCCCTGCTGGCCGGCCTGTCCGTGGCTCCTGGAGTGAGGGCAGCGCCAGGGAGGAAACCTTCGAGACCAGAGGACTGTTCGCAGCTGGGCCCTATTCCTGTGAGCGACTGGGCTGCTATCCTTTCTAAAAACATGCCACTTCGTGGTGATGAATAAGAGCCTCTTCTGGGAAAATGCTTTTCCCTCCTTGGTCACTGAGATCTGACTCCATCCAAGGCAGGAATGGGGTGACCACTGGTGTGTGCGCGGGGTTAAAAAACACCTCGAAACAACCGGATGAATCACAGATTATATGAAAAGTATGTGGAGCCAGGGTCCCAGCCCTGCCGCTCACTCCGTCTCCTTGTCTACAGATGAAAGCTATACGCCCGCCTCGTGGGGTTGTGTGAGGATCACACGAGACAATGTGCCCGGGGCACCGGGCACTGGCATACTCGGTGGCCTTTGGCACTTGTTACCAGTATGAAACATTCCGTATTTGCTGATGTGTGAGCCTTCCTGGCTCCCTTCTCCCCGGGGTCCTCAGTTAACCATTTCTTCCCAGCCGACAAGGTCAGAGGTGAACAGGTGTCCACAGGAGGTCTCGCTGTTCCGCCGACAAGGATGCGTAGTCTGAACGGGCGCTTTTTAGGAGCATCTTTGCCCGCTGGAATTCGTTAGTTTGTGCCAAGTAACGTGGGGGAAATGGCAAGTGGAAACTAATTCAATAAAGTCCTGTGTTTAAACCAAATCTTCTCCCCAGGAGAGAGAGCGGAGGTCGCCCGCGTTTAACCTCCAAATCGCCAGCTTCCCCGAGAACCACAGCAGCGCCCTCCAGCTGTTCTGCCACCAGGAAGGAGTTAAGGTAGCGTGCCAGGGGCTGGGGTGCGGGGCAGGGCTGGGAGGGGAGGGGGTGCCTCCGCTGCGGCCCAGGGCAGCTCGATGCCAGGGATAGAATGCGTTTTCATAAGAGAACCCTGCCCCCCGACCCCCAACACACATTCTGAAAGTCATAGTTCATTATTTCAGCGAGTCACCAATGGCTATCCTATGTGTACCCTACGATAGAAGAACAGAGACGTGGGAGGTGGCCTTGAGTGCCGACCCTAGCCCCGGCCCGTAACCTCCCTGACCTCCCGTCTCCTCTTCGTCTCTGAGACCTGGGCGGGTCCGTTAACCCAGAGGAGCACTCGGTGTGGTGACCATCAGGCAGGGCGCCCTGGCCAGCGCAGCTGTGGTTGTCTAACAGCCGGTGTTTGTCCCGCTCCCGGGGGCGGGTGAGACCCTCCCATGGGCACAGAGACGGTGCTCCTGGCCCACAGGCTGCCATGGCCGCTCTCGAAAGCAGGGACCTAACACGCAGCACCCTGTCCCTATAAGAGGAGGAAGGGGAGGCGCGTAGGGAGCAGTGAGGACTGCGGCCCGAGAGCCTGGCGCCAGGTGCTCTGTCGCTCACTCAGAAATGGCCGTTGCGTCTCTTCCAGGACGTGGATGTGTCTGACCTGATGAAGAAGTTAGACATCCTGGGCGATAACGGGGTAACTATGAGCGACTGGCTCTGGGTTCCGTGTTCTCGTTGTGGTTTGGGTGTATTGTGTGGCTTTTGTTCTGTTTTCCTTTCTTTCTAATGTAAGAGATCGAATACGTACAATGTAAGGCTCTTATATGGCCGTGTTCCCTGGGGGTGGCTGGGTCCGAAGTCCTCAGAAGTGGGGTTCTTGCTAGAAGTGGGGTTCTCCGGTTAGCTCGTCCTCCGAGCCCGTGAGTGATGAGGGGGGAAAGCATAAGAATGAATCCCCAGAGAGAGATAGTGGAGTCCCCCAAGATTTCTGAAATCACAAAGCGAGATTTTTATTTTCCTAAAAGGTTGGCTTGGTGCCACCCTGTGACAAGTTCCCAAGCAGAAGGCCGGACCTCAGAGAGGATGTCTCTGCCATTAAAAGCTGACCTTGAGAGGGTGGGGGCTGACCTTGAGAGAGTGGAGGCTGACCTTGAGAGAGTGGGGGCTGACCTTGAGAGAGTGGAGGCTGACCTTGAGAGGGTGGAGGCTGACCTTGAGAGGGTGAAGGTTGACCTTGAGTAGGTGGGCTGACCTTGAGAGGGTGGGCTGACCGTGAGTGGGTGGGGCTGGCCTTGATTGGGTGGGGCTGACCTTGAGAGGGTGAAGGTTGACCTTGAGTAGGTGGGCTGACCTTGAGAGGGTGGAGGACACGCTCAGAGAGGACCTGTCAGTTGTCCAGAGCGGAAGGCCTGCGGCATCCCGTGCCAAACGCCCTTGCCCGTTTTGTGTTTTAGAATCTGAGAAACGAAGAGCAGGTGGCCATCATCCAGGCCGGGACTGTGCTCGCGCTGTGTGAGAAGGTAGAGCCCCCGCACTGCACTCGCGTCTGGCTTAGGGCGCAGGCCCCTCTGTCTGCCCGTCGGGTCGCTGCATGCGCTCCTGCACGGCTCCTGTTTCCAGATGGCGGGTCACTCGCGCCGACTGTGGAGGGAAGTAAACCCCGCAGGCACCTCCCGACCTGGGTGTGTTTCCTCCCGGCCTGGCCCCCGCCCCGGTTTCCATGGCCGTGAACCCCGCACACTTCCAGGTTTATTCTCCCATGAGCTCCCCTCGCTGTGCCGCCCCCGCTGTCCCGCCGGCGGCCACGCCATAGTCTTCCCTCCGCGTAAGACATTGAGGGATTTCCACTTCCTTTCCATTTACCACCTCGGTGGCGAGCAGCATGTCCGTAAGTCTCATCTCCCATTTAACCGCCCGCCGGGTAGGTCCGGGCGCGGACGGGCTGGTGATGGCGAGAGGGTTCTGAGCACTTGGTCAGCTCGGTTTCCGGGCAGCGCTGACCTCGTGGCCCGGGAGCTGGCTTCTCCCTGGCAGAGCTGAGGACCTGGGCCTGCCTGGCCTGTGGCTGCGGTCCGTCTGGTTCCTGTCACCCCCACGCACTTCCTCCAGCCTCTTCCGGCTGCTGCCCATCTGCCCCCCCACCCCCCACCCCAGAATCCACCAGGCTACTCAGCCTGGCGCCACGCTGTGCCCTGACCGCAAAGAACTGCGTCAGCCTCCCCGCGACCCCCACCCCCTGCCGGC